CCCCAAAACCCCAAAACCCCGTAAGATGAGAATATAGTGAGTATTATATAGTATAAAATTAAAGTAAGATATCCAAATTAAGATGGAGAAATACGTTGCTCTTTCAGTCAAGCGGCACTGGGATATATACCAATTTGTTGAAAAAATTGGTTCTGGAGGATTCGGATCAGTTTATAAAGTTAAGAATACGGTTGATAGCAAGTTTTACGCAATGAAAGTTTAGAAACTGAAGAAGCTAATGACTAGAGTACCTAATAATTACAGTAATGAGATGGTGCGCATCATCCGTGAAGTCAACACATTCTAGCTATGTCATCCAAACATTACTTAATTCCATGAATCCTACTTCACCAATGATGATAAATTCGTAATTATCACAGAGCTTGCAGAGTCAAATCTATGCACATATGCAGGAAACACAACTCTAACCAATGATCAGATTGCTGATATAATGATCCAGATTGTTAAAGGTACAATCTATCTTCACAAACAAAATGTCATGCACAGAGATTTAAGTCCTGAAAACATTTTGGTTTTTGAAAATGGCAAGAAGTTCAAAATCTGCGACTTAGGAGTGGCACAGTTGGTAGAAACTTCTAAAACTATTGTGGGGAAACTTACTCTCTTAGCTCCAGAAATAAGTAAAATTGGTGATTTCAGCTACAACAATTGAGTAGACATATGGTCGCTCGGAATGATACTCTACTACTTGTGCACAAAGTAATATCAATATGAAGGCAAGACAATATCCTAGATAAAACAACAAGATTAGACAAAGCATATTAATCTTGAAGGATAGTACAAAGCATTCGAGTCCCTCTTAAATAAAATGCTTCAATTCAACCATGAATTGAGATTAGATGCACAGTAGGTGCTTTGTGAAGTTTGTAAGATTAAAAATGAACCAGTGAACAAGCATTTAGAAATAGAAGAAGAAAAGGTAAACCATCCCAATCTTACTAATATTAATGAAGATAATAGTGCTTTTGCTTTAACGATAAGATCAACCAATGCTCTTGTGAATGAGATTACTTTAAAGATAGGAGAATTCAATTATGGGGCTATTGATAAAATTCATACTAATCATAATAGAATCTTCAAGCATTCTATATGATATAGGAATAATGATTTGTATCAAGGTGAATTTGATGCTGCCACTAATAAAAAAGATGGAAGAGGTAGAAATATTTGGGGTGATGGAGAAGTTTATGATGGATTATGGAAGAATGATTTGAGAGATGGATATGGAAGAGTAATA